GGGCACCCTCGGCAGCCCGGGCCCCGCCGTACCTTGTCCCGCCGGGGCAGCAGTGCCCGCTCTCCGTGCATGGCTCCCGCCGGCTCTCGGTGCCCGGCTCCCGCCCGCCGCAGCTCCGGCCCGGCCCGGGCCCGCCCTCTCGCGGCGCGGAGGCCTCTCGGGAACCGCCGGGAACCGCCGAGCCGCGGCCGCACACCCGCCTCCCGCGGCAATCCCCCTCAATGGCTTTCAACCGAACGCGTCTTTGGGATCCCGGGGTCCCTTCCCGGCGCGGAGCTCGCTGAGAGCCGCGATTGCTGCTCCCGCGGCATTCCGCTGCTACGGCTGACAGCTGACCCACAGCTACTGCCTAGACACAGAACCACGCCTGTCTTTGTGAATACGCGCTTTRCAAAACAAAAAAAATGCTGTTACAGTAAACTGCATTCTCTCTCGATTCAACACTCCATATTGAATGCAAAAAACCCCGCAAGGCAGCAACACTGGTCTGCACCGGGGGTCAGCCAAGCTCCTTCCCATAACCCTGAGGTTCTGTTTGCTATCCCATCAACAGGAAAACCAGACACCTGGGAAAGCAACGGACATATTTTCTAGAGAAGTCCAGCTGCTGAAACCATAGAATATAATTTCTCAATCTGTTGTGACTCCTGTTGTGACTCCTGAAATACCAATTTCCCTCTTAAGAGGGTTTAGTTGTAGAAACCCTGGAGCTGGGGATAGTTAATGGAAAATTGGTGCTAAGAATTAATCAGTAGGACCAACACTGTGAATGRTATCTGTACTGCACAGAGAACACGCTGTCTCTGAGATGTAGAGACATGCATTTTGAAGTAATTTACATTTGTTAAGATACCTCTTCTTGGAATCTGTAATCTTATAAGATTTTTCCAGAGTTGTCAGTGATCAGATTTCTCCCTATGGCCTCGACAAACACAAAGACCCTGCCTGTGCAGGGCATGCCTGGCCTGGGAGCATCACCCCACACCCATGGCATAGCTGCTCCATGCCTCATCCAGAGAGCAGCTCTGCCAACCCACCGCCACCCCAAGAGTAGCACAGAACAGGGTGTCTGTGCAGCACACYGAGACAATCTTATCACTGTTAACTGCCTATAACCCAAGGGCTTCTCAAGAGAACACTGTCAAATCCATTCGTAACAATCTCTACCTCCTCCAGAGAAAGGACATTTTAGCATTGACAGATGAAGAAAAACAGAAAGATCCACAGATCAGATGCAAAACGTCCACCAATTAATTTGATGTAACTTTTTTTCCTTTTTTCTTCATAATTCTTTTTCTGGGCAGTGGTAAGGGTGAGTTAGCATGGGACTGACCCATCCCAGAACCAAACAACTGCTGAACACCRGTTCTTTTGCAGCCCACATGCTCCAAGATGAGATCTGCCCAGATTAATGCCATAGAACTGGGGCTTCAACATTACTTTTCAGTGAAGAGTTTCTATCAATTTAATTTACTCCATGTTTGGTCTAATTAGTGTATGTGTGCGGATAATTACTATAAATTGCACTCCAAGTACACACTTCCTCTCATGACACAAGTTTTGTGAGAGAAAAATTTGGTRGAAACTCCCCTCCCCCTTTTAAGGTCAATTGACTGCAGCAAATCTGCCCAGGTTATCTCCTTACACCTGTAGTAGAAAATGAACTAGAATAGCAATAGTAGAATAAACATGTTGGAATAATTGCTTTATAATTACCAGCTGTGTGGATATTRTTCTGGAATAACAAAAAGGATTATTTCCAATTCAAAAGGAAAAGGCTGTGCAAAGTGCAATTCTGGAACAGAATGGAGATAATTTAAGTATTTTGTCTATATTGACAAGGCTTTGTAAAGGGARGACTCAGCACAAATGGATTCCTGGGAAATGCTGGTGGACAAATTATTGAATTTGAGATGCTGGTCAATCTCTCCTGAAAAGATGCTGGTAAATTAAATACTATAATGATCAGTGCTTGTAAAAGAATAGGGACTACAATTCAATAGTTAATCTCCCTTGCAATACAATTATCCACTATATTGACAGTCCAGGAAAGGAGAGTAGCTGCATGCCCTCCCACTAGGAGGTACACTGAGAACTGCTTTGGCATTAKGCCACAAACCAAATATAATCATGTGAGGGTCTTATGCCTTCTCTCTCTGAAGATCTTTCCAAATTCTCAGCATTGTTAATGTTCTCTGTCTAAGAGAGAGTGTCTGTCTAAGTTTTACTTAGGTCTAACTTAGACCGCCTGTCTAAGTTTTCTGCCTGTCTCTATTCTGCAGCACACAGCACGAAGAAAAGGCCTCATGATTCCACCTTGGGGTGCTGCTGAAAATTAAACACAGCACTCCCTTAAAAGTATTTCTCCTTTTTAAAACTCCTCCAGAAAATCGTATACTGGTTATTCACCAAGAAGATGGACTGTTGCTTTTAAACACTGAAGGCAGCTGTCATAAGCAAACAGCAGCTTTCAGCGCAAGCTTGCTGCAAGGGGTTAACTCCTGCTTCCTCCTCCCTCACCCTGGAGCTTCACAAGTGTGACTGAAAAGTGTCGTGTTACTTAGAATAAAAMCACACAGGGCAAACTGAGCCAGGAGAGCTGAGAGTGAGACTGCGCAGCCCCAGAAGGGAACCAATAGCACCTGAGGTGCCTGGGTTAATCACCCGCCCAGTGACTGCACACCTGACTGGCAGCTGAAAATACTCACAAGTTGTTTTGCTTCCTTTTCCCACTGTGCTGAAGGCAATACARTCATACAGGCAGAAAATCTGTGAGACTCATAGAAAGTCAYAGYTAGACTTTCTGTTTGGAAACATGCCTCATTAACAGCATTGTTAGCACATGGCAGGTGCAGGGATGGGCACAGGGACTTGGCCAAGCCCTCCACACTGGGTGGACAGATGGTCTCCAGCTTCAGGCAGGCACAGGAGCRGAGACTCCAAGTCTCTGATGACAGTTACAAGAGTTGGTTTGTTAGTAAGATCTCTAATTAACASCTTACAGGAAATAAAAATCAGAGGGGAGAAAAAAAAGAGAATGTTCTTTGTGGCTGACCATGTCTGCAGAGTACCAGCGTGCCCCCCCCACCCCACCCCTTCCTGTGGCCCCACTTCATTGGATCGGCATTAACACATCTAAGGACATATTTGAACAAACACACACAGATTCCCTGGCAGGTACAATGAAGAAATACTTAAACATCACAAATTACTATGAGGTACCTTCAACATATTAGATGAAATGTCTTTAACAGCCACAAGTCRCCTCCCCACGTGCCACCTGCAGTACACGACTCTTGAAACAGCTGGGTGAAGGTTGCACCAGCCCGACCCTCCCATGCGCTGTCAGTGCCCTGTTCCTCTGGATCCCACGCAGTCATTGTATAGGGCACAATTTACAACAGGTCCCAAAAGRAACAAAAAAATGACACAGACTTCCCTGCCTCACCCACTTGGGTGATGCAATAAGCTATTTATGACCTACAGTTGATAAAGAGTTGAGAGTCTGTTTTTCTAATGCTTTGCTTTTTAAGGTTGTTACTGAATTACAGATCAGCTGGGGTTGGAAAGGACCTCTGGTGTTACCCAGTCCAGTCCCCTGCTCAGGCAGAACCATCAAGAGCCAGCAGCCCAGGATCATGTCTAGAAGGTTTTTGAGATCTCCCGGAATAGAGGTTCCACACTGACATCCCACATTTGTGGATCTGTCTGTAAYAGAAACTTGTATCTGTAAGTCTGTCTGCTGCAACACTGCCACACATCTGATATTCCCAACTATATTTCCAGTAGCATATTTCTATGATTGCAAATCCTGTGTAAWAGCATATGTAAGGGAGARTATTTTGTTCATTCACCTCTCAGTWAAATACAGACAGAAGATCTAAATACTGAACCATCCCCAGAGACAACTGCCCACTCACATGTGGATCAATTTATGAATCCACCTTCTRCCTTCCCTCAGCAAGTGCTTAGGGTGCATACACACTCCTGCTGTACTGCATTTCTGCCTTGGCTTTACT